CCTTTGGTGCACACTGGAATCCTGAAGAAGCAGTCTCTGATGCTACTGCAGGAATGGACCAGCTAACAAGGCTTCCAGCAGGTGTGACCCAGATTAAAGGCATTTTTTTCCCCAACTCAAGTGATCTGGATGAAAGGTACGCCTTCCTGTTTCAAGATCCAATTTAAAGGTGTGTCTTTTTCTACTTCCAATTAAGCAAAAATCCCTTACAGGTGTACCCTACATTTTGGGGCTTTAGTTAACTCCAGATGTAGTCAAGCTGACAACCAAGAACAGCCATCACAATGCATGTAGATATAAAGTATGTGTATGTATAGACACATGTGTGCATATATGGATAGTTATACACATGTGTGTAGTACTGTGTGCATAACTGTATGTGTACATGTGTGAATATTTCAGTATGTGTCCGTGTGTGTGGATGTGTTCACATATAATGTATCAGTGGACGTCCATGTGTGTAGGTGTGCCTGTGTAGGTATTTGTACACATGAGTGTGTGAAGCATGTGCTTACATAAAAAGGGTTTTCTGGAGGGTAAGTCTTGAGCTGGAGTCGGGCAGTGGTGGTGTACGCCTTTAATCCCAGCACTTGGGAGGCAGAGGCAGGCAGATTTCTGAGTTCGAGGCCAGCCTGATCTACAGAGTGAGTTCTAGGACAGCCAGGGCTACACAGAGAAACCCTATCTCAAAAAAAGAAAGAAAGAAAGAAAGAAAGAAAGAAAGAAAGAAAGAAAGACAGAAAGAAAGAAAAAAGAAAAAGGCTTGAGCTAGAAACTCAGGACCACGCCAGAGTGGATAGTGCTATAAAAAGAAGTTAGCATAGGATAAGGGGTGTCCTAATTTGCCTTCTGTTGTAATAAAACACTGGCCAGGGCTGGAGTGATGGCTCAGCGGTTAAGAGCACTGGCTGCTCTTCCAGAGGTCCTGAGTTCAGTTCCCAGCATCCACATGGTGGCTCACAACCATCTGTAATAGGATCTGATGCCCTCTTCTGGTGTGTCTGAAGATAGCTGCAGTGTACTAAATAAAATTATATATATATATATATATATATATATATATATATATATATATATATATATA